ATTTCAGTGCATTTTTAGCCAACTTCAAACGCCATTTTGGAACTTTAAAAATGGTAATTTCACCTCAAATTTTATATTCTCGGATTTAGCTTGACTAGCTGTATCTACATGCCAAGTATCAAATTTGTAATGTTAGTAAAAAAGGTCTAATTTTTTGTTTGAAAATCGGCTTCAAATTTGCATGGCCCTTTTCTCTGTCGATGTGTCCGAAGGGTCGGTTTGCAGTGGGATAGATTGAGAAATCACGAGCACAGCAAAGCAGTACAAACAGTGCAAAGTACAGCAAAAGTCGGTGCCATCGATAAGCAGACCAGGAGAAAAGAAAGACGGGTTAAGAGGGTGACGCAGTGATGCGATAAGGAAACTGGGTGATAGACACGATAAAGCAGTTGATGGACTGAGCGACAAGAGACGGCAACAAGCCTACTGCCGCCTCTGCTGAAAGACTCAATTGCGGCCAGTGGAACGGTGTGCGCCTCTGTCTGGTGCCATTGGCCTGAAAGTGTCGGCAAGTGATGGCTCTGTTTGAGGCACAGTCAGCGAAAAAGAGAGTCAATGTCCTGGCAGACCATCTGGACCGAGAATCGGGTGATGCACCTCATCAGTGGACAACTTTCATCATGAATCACATCATTCACTGTTGCTCTGTGAGTGCTTACTTGGTAGATCTGATGCAATTGGTAGGAAAACGAAGCTGCTAAAGAGGGTAGTACGTCAAGTGTGCGTACGTCTGAGCGAATGCAGAACTGATAAAAGCAGATGGCAGGCTAAGGGTAGTCGCATCGACGATAAGCATTCATATGACTGTGCGTAAGTGCACTGCTCATCTAGAGTAGCATCGAGTGGCCAACAATTGCAGATAGAGAGGCGACTGTGCTCGGCTACAGTTGCAGAAACACTGGCAATCGCACTGGTGCCGTTATTCCGAGAAATCAACTCGCCCTATCGATTCTACTGGAACTCAACGAGGAGAAAAGAAGTAGAAACAAATGGCACTTACCAATTTTTTCTTCTGTCTGCAGCTCACTCGGAGAGAGCATCGACTTGAGAATTGGTAGGCGTGACTCGCTACTAGTAGTTTTAGCATCGTTGCTGTTGTCGTCGGTGTTGTTTGATTCGTCATAGTACGAGGATGACTTTTTCTTCTCATCAAAGTGATCGTCGATATCGTCAACCTCAATCTCCTCGTCTTCGTCATCGTCGTCGTCGTCGTCGTCATCGTCAGCACCTGCATTATTCTTCTTGATGTAGCTAATCTGGAGATCACCATCGGTGTCCGCCGAAGAAGACGCCAGGTCGATGGGCTTCATTGTCTCGTCCTCCTCTTCGTCATCCGAGTCGTCTTCGTCGTCGATGGCGTTCGCCTTCACCTGCGGACACTTTCCGTTCGATGTGGGCGAAGAGGGGGACAGCGATTTGGACTTGGCGCTGTCGTCGCTGGCGCTGTTGGTCGCTTCAAGAAGGGTCGGTCTAGAGGAGGTAGCTGCGGCAGTTGACGGTGCTTTGATTGTTGTCGTTGATGCCTGTGATGCCGCCGAGAGCGTTGAGGAGGCTGGTGAAGTTGGTGTTGCTGTGGCAGCGGCAAAAGCAGCTGATATTGAGAGAATCGCCGCTGCGGAGGAGGACAGCGCCGAGAGCTTGGAGAAGGAAGACGCACTGCCGATGGAGGGTGCTGAAGAGGAAGATAATGCCGGAGAGAGGGAGGAGGACGGGGGAGAAGGCAACGAGGTTTGGTGGTGGTGATTGTTGTGGCTGTGCGCTGGCTGATGCAAAGTGCTCGTCGAAGAGGAGGTCGGCGAGGAGCTGGACAGCGTCAGCGTGTCCACGTGAGATGGGGAGGTCCGGAGCTGCTTTGGCGGACACTCTTTCGGTGAGGAGGAGGAGGTGGAGGTGGTAGAGTTGGCCCTGCTGCCACCCGACAGCGAGTGGGACTTGCCATTGGCCACCACGGAGAGCTTCTCCAGACTGCCTCCGCTGCGGTCGCTGCTGGAGAGGTTGACGGGCAAGCCGTGGGTGCTCTTCGCCTGGTAGTACTGCGTGTACAGCTCATTGAGGTCGTCGTTGGCAATGTGCGCATTGTCGGGTCGGAGGAAGCTCTTGCAGACGCAAACCTCCATGAGGTCGTCATTGCGGCGCTCCAGACACTCCCTGATGCCCTCCAGCAGGCGGATCAGGTGCTCGTGGGTGGAGAGCGTCTCGCGGAGGTACTCATTCGTTCGGCGCAGTCGGACCACCTCGCGACGGGTCTCTTCAAAGCGCTGTCCGAGCAGACTGTTGACCTGCGCGAGTGAAGGCTGTTGCAGTGTCATCATCGTGGTGCCGGTCATAACCGTCCAGTGGGCAGTGTGCAGGACACTGCTGGGCAGGAGGTAGTGTAAAGTCGGTGATCAACTGTGGAGATGGCGAGGCGGCTATGGGCGATTAGTGGTACAGCACAGGGCAGAGGAAGGCACTCGGTCAAGTCTATCTATCTATCCTACTAAAACTAGGTCAAAGTTCGCATTCAGTAGTGCACCGTCATTAGTGGCGGGCGAGGGTTGCCGACAGAGGCGTCGCAAGGCAGGTGAACAACTGTGCTGGCGGTGATCAACTGTTGCTGGTGGAAGGGCGATTTATCGCAATCACCGGTGAGTGCGTGCCTGGTGTGCAGGCATCTGTTGTACAGTGGAGCACTGATGATGAGGGGTGCTGCTCTGGCTGATGCTGCTGACTGCTCAGTACCTTCAGGTGGTACCGAGGAGGAAGAAGGGCACCTGCAGGCCGATTCTGCCCAACTGAATCAGCTGAGAGTCAGCTGTGAATGATTCTGGCAGGCAGAACGGGAGACACCGTACACACACACAGCAAGCAGACATAAACACTGGGTGGACAGAGCCTTCTTGGGGACACAGAATTGCCAATCAAAGCTGTACACTGAGAAGAGAGGTAATTAGGGCGCCAGTGTGAGTAGTAGTGTGGCGGTGGTGGCGATGGTAAGGTGAGGCCCAACCGCACAGGGTAACGGCGCGGAAACAAATGACAGCCAAGCTCGTCTCGGCCGATGGCAGATCGCGCGCTTCGTGCCGTTACTCTCTCTCTCTCTCTCTCTCTCTCTCTCTCGCTCCTTTGCGCCGCATGCGCTCGCGCCGCCTTGTCTACCACACAGTGCAGTTGGCGTAATGTTACTCCCAATCCTCGACCCCCTTCATGTGCGACTCCGACATGTGCGAGCGAGAGAGCGAGTGAGAGAGCGAGCCAGCGAGCGAGAGAGTCAGCGGCGGCAGCAGCAACTTGTAACCCGTTTTTCGCCGTCGTTTGCAGGCCACAGCAGGTCAGTCAGTCAGTGAGCTGAGGCAGAGTGGCTCACTTCAACCTCAACTTCAGCGTCAGCCTCAGTGCTCCTTCCTTCTTCACGTCATGGCGCCCTGTTGCTTCTCCTCTGTTCTTTGCCATACCTCACATTCTCGCTTCATTTCGCCCCTTTCTTACCGCCACCACTGAGTGGAAGCATTGGCAAGGCGACACTACCACCACCGCCACCACCACGAGGAGCTGCTTCGAAAACGAGGTCAACGATAAGAAAAAGACAGCAAAGGTCCGACAGGCTGCTGCTGGCGCTGACGAGTACTCCAAGAGCCGACAAAGTAGACACAGGCAGAGTGGTCGTCGTTGTGGCGAGGATGGTGGTGGTGGCAGCAGCCTTTCTCTCTGAAGAGACATCCTGACGCCCGCCTAACCTCAGTGAAAGAGGAGAGGAGAGGCTGAGTCGCAGGTGAAAGATAACCTGCTGACCCTTATTCGTCTGGCGAACGGCAAGTGTACTACTGTGCTCGCTGCGAGGCACAGTCGTCGCAACAGGCAAAGGAAGAAGAAGATAAGATGCCTGCAGATGGGCACAGATTACACTCTTGTGCAATTGTAAAGGGGTCACTCCGAAAGACAGGTGATACTCCTCGTTCAGTGGTGCAGTAGTGCAGCTCGGCACACTGCTCTACTACAACGCCCCAGCCCTCTCTTTCCCCCTCCGTTGAGGTGCTCTTTCGGTAGGTATTTAGGCAGTGACGCACCACCGGATGGGAAGCCAACCCTCGCCATGTCTGCCTTCTCTGGGCACTGCGCCAGTCTCTTTCTCTCTCCCCTACACTCACTATCTCTGCCTGTTGCATTCCGGGGAGTTGTTTGATGTAATGTAGTTGGAGTGATGGTGATGCTGCCGTCGCTGTTGCTGCACAGTCAGTCAAGTGAAGCTCAGGCAGCAGTACTGTGCTCCTGTTCTTAGCGGCACAACTACAGCTGCCAGTGCAGCTTCTGAGGAGAGCAAATGAAAAGAAAGGAGCGTATTCCTGCTCTGCAATTCACTGTCTTAGTCCGTCACCCCTTTTCTATGCAGGCTGATACACACAGTCTTGGGAGTAGCTCGTCGGATGTGGCCAAATTTGGCATCCACCACTGTGCCTTCGAAATGAGCACATTAAGGAGTAGTGCAGTAGATCAATGAAAGAGAAAGGTAGTGGTGCACTGGCGGTCGTAGTGGTGATGGTGGTGGTGGTGGTAGTGTTTGTCGGTGCAGGAGGTACAACGAGTACAGGCAGAGGCAGGGTACTCTTTTGGACAGTGCTCAACACTCACTGAGTGCACCACTGACCGAGGCACTGCTGACATTCAAAGTGGCTGTCACTGCCGTTCCTGGAACACTCCTGATGGCGATGATTGAGATTTGCCTGGTGGAAGTGCACCCACCTAGAAGTGGTGACCAACGGCAACCCCAGCGTGTGTGTGCGTCTATGTCACAAGCATAGTACATGCATAGACACTCGCTATCGCACGTTGACCGAAAATAGGCCAACCAGGCAGCAGCAGATCGTGCCTGCTGCGCTGAGCACTGCTGCCTACGCTGCCTACGCCAGTGTCTGGTGTGCACTGGGCGCCAGTCCAGGGTAGTACAAGTGAGCATGGTGCCAAGCGACGGGGAAAGAAGCACTTTCCACTGCAGGCACTTCCATGTAATGAGGAGATGGCCAAGGACAACGGGCAGGCGCCATACGATAATTGGCAGCAGTAGTGAAAGATCACTCTGATCAGCTAGGCGATCGTTGCGACGGCGCCCTACCCAACAATCCACACAGCTACCCACCCTAGTGCACGGAATGCCAGTGCAACTGCCCAGACTGACTGAGTAACAGTGGGCTCACCAAGAAAGAGGCACGAGAGGAAGAGAGGAAGAGAGGGAGGCAGCACGGAAGAGTTGCCTACTGGCAGCACAACAGGCTGGCGGCAGTACATCTGGGTGAAGCAGCTATCTGACCAGCAAACACTACGACGACGACAACAGCAACAACAGCAACAGCTAAAGTCATCCAGTAGTTTGGTGGTTGTTATGAATGAGAGGCAGAAAGGGAAGAAGAAGAAGTGAACACTGAAAACCCTGCTACTGCAACTGCACTTGTCATCAGCATCGACCTGCTGCAGCCATATTCAAAGTATGCGCACATACTTCTTTTGGGCAATGCCTGCTTCACTTGGCTGCTGATACAGCACACAGCTGCACTCTCGCTTTCGACTACCACTTTCGACGACAGCGATGAAAGTGGAAAGAAGAAGAAGAAGAAAAGAGGCAAATGGCAAAAGCCCCCGTGCAGCGGGTGTTACTGTCGAATAGGAAGTGGAAGTGATCAGCTCAGCACAGACAGACAGACAGGCAGGCAGCCTGACAGTGCTGGTGGAGAGGTCGCTTGGCGCCCGCCGGTGTGCAGCGCAGTAGACAACGAAAGTAAATCACGTTTCTATTTTGTGTAACAGCAGTGAACGGTGAACAGCAACGGCAGCGTTCTCTGCAGTGGTACTTATTTATAGCCACGATTGCCACTCAAATAGAAACCTACAAACGGCAAAACAATGCCACTGCTTGCGGAAATGCGAGGAAAGAGCGAGGCTGAGAGAAAGACAGCGGAGAGAGAGAGAGAGAGAGAGAGAGACGGTGCCACCAGGCAGATTACTCTCACTCTCACTGGCTGACCACCGCTCTCTTCATGTCGTCTCGGTCCATCGCCAATTGAGTTGATCTGGCTCAGGTAAAGGAGTTCACAGAGGGGGGGGGAATGCGCAAAGGCACGTGACAGGTAATGTGCGGCAGGTAGAAAACAGAGAAAGACAGCGGCGCCTCTGGAAGCTTCCCTCGCTGTCCTGATCAGCGGAGGAACCAGTGGGCTCTTCTCACTTCTGTCTCGCTTGATCAACTGACAATTCAAAGTTCCGTTAATTGGCTACTGCTCACTGAAAGCACTGCCCGTGCCAGCAGCTACTTGTGCCTCAGCGCAAGATTACTACTGCTGTCTTGAGGAGGAGGAGGACAAAAGTACTAACGTACAGTNGGGGGAATGCGCAAAGGCACGTGACAGGTAATGTGCGGCAGGTAGAAAACAGAGAAAGACAGCGGCGCCTCTGGAAGCTTCCCTCGCTGTCCTGATCAGCGGAGGAACCAGTGGGCTCTTCTCACTTCTGTCTCGCTTGATCAACTGACAATTCAAAGTTCCGTTAATTGGCTACTGCTCACTGAAAGCACTGCCCGTGCCAGCAGCTACTTGTGCCTCAGCGCAAGATTACTACTGCTGTCTTGAGGAGGAGGAGGACAAAAGTACTAACGTACAGTGCCATTACTCCTCCACTGACTCACCTGCTGGAGGTGAGGACGGCAAGGGGAAATGAACAGCAGCAACAGCTGCCCAAAAGAACAGTCACTCGGGGAAAGTGAGGGAGAGTAGGAGAGAGAGAAAGAGAGAGAGAGAGAGACGGCGATGTCGTAAGGGGCCACTACCGGCGCGTGTGAAGGTAAGTCATTGGCACAGTTAGCGACAGCAGTTCGCTGAGCCACCATCGGATGAATCTGCATCATCGCAGGCAGTGCAGCCATCACCGAGGCCACTGATACGGCCAGTGTGGTACACAGCGCCGCTCACTCTCTTACTCTGTCCTCCTTACCCTTTGTCTTGCTCAGTGCAGTTGAAACATACACACACTCACTCTCCCTTCTCTGCTGATAATTGGACGCTCTTGGGCAATGCACACACTCCAATCGAACACTTTCGATGCACCTTCGAGGCAGCCTCAATGCCGCAGCTGAGCATTGTCTGAGCCGTCTTGGTGATGCAGCAGGCAGATTGGCAGATCAAAGCGACGACGGCTCAGCAGCAGCTCATCAGAGTGGGGGACAGTGTCTGAGTGACCTGTTCACCGCCATTCACCACACTATTTGGAACGGATGGATGTGCAGTGCACTACAGTAACTTACGTGGCCGTTGGCGGTGCACTCGTACGCTTCCATCGCTGCCAAGTGATGCGCGCATTGGTA